CTATATAGAAATATATGTGTGTGTATATATATATATGTGTGTGTGTGTGTGTATATATGTATATGTATGTATGTATGTATGTAAGTATCTCTCTATCCACCTATCTATATATCTATGTATATGAATACTTATATGTATATATATATATATATATATATATATTACTGAGTTATACACGGTAATATTGCTGAAAATAGCAGAACAGTCGGAATTGCAGCTAACAATTGCAAACATATGTATTAAATACATTACCACTCAGTGCGCGTGAATACTTGCATAAATCCAAATGTATTCTCTCCATTTTTCTCATTCTAACTGGTCCTTGATCGGATAATTGGCACTCAGTATACCTTGCAAGTGGTTTAGACGGAATTTATCCCTCCCTGTGACGTGGATATTCTCAACCCCTTCCCAATTGTTTGGTGGAGTATTTTTGTCAACATATTTATACAGTACAGATCGAGATTGATTCCCAATTATCACTGTATTAACTATTGATTGTTCAGGTGTGGGAACAGGACAACCAATATATTGAGAAATACTATAGACTCACGGGTCCCGATTGGGGTAAGATCTGGCAGTCGCTATTCTACCTACACAACCAATCGGCCAACGTGTACAGGTAGGTCTGTCACTAGATGTTGTCGTTCACGCGTGTTTGAGGATGTGCTCATGTCAATTGGTGTGGATTCACAAGTAGACAGTTGACATGTGTGAATACTGTCTGTTTAGTATGTCTGCGTTGTTGTTATAGATAGAAACTTCACAAAACCGTTCGCAGTACTGAACATAAGGTCCGATCTGACACTCGCACCTAAGTTCAGGGTACCCATATGTTTTTTGCACCATACCTTATTTCCACACCCTATTCGCCTAGCTTATTGTCACACCTTATTCCCACCCCCTAATCCCACATAACCGCCTCAATGCGTCCCCAGTCACGGCTTAGCTGTGGTGGGCTTCATGCTGCTGGGCTGGCGGGTGTGTTTCCATTGGCTGCCACAGCTCGAGGCTACACACACAGACTTCTGGGTGTGGCCAGCCTTCTTTGTGTCGTGTTGCTTGTGCTTTGCTGGATCCGTTGGATATCACCTGACATGGTGTCACAGCTCGGAGGTATGTGCGTACGTGTCTATTTATAGACGTGGGCGACTCATGCAGGTCTATTTATAGGAAAATGTAAATTCGTGCAGATCTATTTCTAGAACTGTATATTTGTTGCACGGCCCTCTGGATAGGGTCTCGAGCGGAAATCAAGGCTTCTCTCTACAACAATCGAAAATTTAGCAGAGACCCGAATCCAGAGGGCCGTGTTTGTTGGTGCTTGTGTGAACGCCGTTGAATCTGTGCTGTATCGTACATATTGATACAGGGTTTTGGGGTTTTAGAAAAAACCTTGCCTTTCCTACAGGCGTGTAGTTCAGTTCACTCGGCGGTATCTACAGGGTTCCAGGGTTTTGTTAAAATTCCTGGGATTGATTAGGCTTTGTATTGAGTGTGGGTGCCTTCAGCTGCTCGCAAAACCGTAAAACCCTTTGCCGCTCACCCACACCTACCTACTGCTTTAAAACCAAACAACAACCCATACATACTTCTTAGCCAGAACTAACACCCCCTCTTTCTCGTACATTTGCCCTGGCCTTAGACCTACTTCCTGGGCGGGTGCTGGGATTGGTCCGGTATAGTGTTGATCTGGTTCGGGTGCATGCACCTCCTAGTGTATCAAGCCTTCCCCTGTGACCCGTACTTTTACGTTTTCTACACTACCATGCTCACAGTCAATGCGCTGGCCTTCCTGAGTCTGGTGTTCAAGAGGTGGTTCCACACTGCCAAGAATAGGTATGTTCTGAGCATTCTGGTAAAGTGTGTACTTGTGTGTTTATGGATTGGTATTCGCAATATGTATTTATATATCTTTATGAAAGTGTGTACTTGTGTGTTTACGCATAGGTATTCTCACTATGTATATCTATCTGCATGATAGTGTGTACGTGTGTGTTTACGAATAGGTATTCTCACTATGTAAATACATCTACATGATAGTGTGTGTGTATCTATGTGTGCACAGGCCTTCCCTGCATCTGTTGTTTTGAAAATAGAGTACCACATATCCAAATCACAACAAACATTTCATATAACTTAGGGTTTTAGGAGTATTGTTTATTTTATGGAAATGAATATTTGCACTCAGTATCGACTCTGTGTCGTTGTGTGTATACAGTTGTCTGTCTGTCTGTTGGTTCAGTTATATATATGCACTCGAATGTGTGTTGTTGTGTGTGTACATACTCACTCCCAATCTACTTTGAACTTAAAAACATTGAGCATACGTATATACCCCTTCACGCAATGTTTGCCAAAGCCCTGAGAGTTGAACCCGAACTACCTTAGTCTCTGAGCGTATCCAAGAGACCCATACTACCACTGTCAATATAACCCAAATAATAATAATAATAACGTATCTCACGCATACTACCTATACAATAATAATAATAAAATAAGAATGTTTCTCACGCATACTACTATACAATAATAATAATAAAATAAGAACGTATCACGCGCATACTACCGATACACTAATAATAAAAATAATAATAGCTTATCTCAAGCACACTACCAATACAATTATATTATTAATATAGTACTGTGACTCAATGTGCTTCCATTTCCCTTCACGCCGTGGTACACAGAGCCTTGAGGGTAAAGCTGGTGTGCAGTCTCGGGGTGTCGACGGTCCTACCGTTGATGCATTACGTTTACCTCCACGGGCCTGCTGAGATGGTGAATCACCTGAAAAGTACGTTAAATGGGATGATATATGTACATACTAGAACCATGCATGCATGCAAATATATGTCCTCTGATGTGCGATTGATAGAATTTCTTCGGTTTGTCTATATAGTTATGTTTATATGAAATATAAATATATATTTATATATAAATTATGGACATACATATATATACATATATATATATATATATATGTATATATATATATGTGTGTGTGTTTTATTTATCTATGTATCTATGTATATATATATATATATATATATGTATATATTCAGTTGCATGTATGTTTCAATCAACCTACTTCCTCGCATGCGAGTATTCGCCAGCTGTATCTTCATACTAACCCATCTATCTCCCTTTTAACATCTTCATATCTGCAGTGCACATTCTTATCTCCGAGGTAATTGTCCTGTTTGTGGGTGCGTCCTTGTACGCCCATCTTCTCCCAGAGAGTCGGTTTCCGGGTGTATTCGACCTCATCGGCAGCTCACATAACATACACCACGTCACATCCACTGCAGCGGTGACTATGCACTGTTATGCCATGTGGCAGACGCAGCTGCTGAATGCGCAGAGGGGATGTCCTGTGCAGAGTATAGGCTAGAATGACATCCAGATAGCGAATAGATGTAGTCTAAAATGTCATATAGATTGTGAATCAATGGAGAGATACAATGCCAATAGTAGATATAAATTAAATCGATAGAGGTCAATGTGACCGTATACCGTGAGGCCTGGTCAATCACACGAGGCCATACGCAACGGAACTAAATGCAGATATACAAAGTCCATAGTATTATGAATCAAGTCGATACAGGACACTGTAGCCGTTTTTAACGAGACTGGTTCAATCGCACGAGGTCGTACAGATAGCAAAGCACGAGGTCGTACAGCGAACAAGGCCAATGTTTCCGTTCAAAATATAGCCAGCTCAACCGCACAGACGCGCACCAATCACCCGCCTTGGCTATTCCTACCTTGGATTCGAACAGGGGGGGCAGAGAAGAATACTCTGGTTAACTTATATTATAGTCTGCTAACAAGTATATCAGAGGGCTGGGATGTGTTTATAGATGTGTTACACACATGCATCCATATAGTGTATGGGAAAACACATTCGTGTTAGGAGGGTTGATATTCATACAGCATACCTAGTCCTATTCAAAATTACTGAAGTGTGTATACAGCACTTGCTACTTATGAACATGCTTTTCTGTAGTGGTTTAAAGAATGAAATCGTAATATAAGAGTGAATGGAGAAAGAAGTTATGAATCGATCATCTCGAAAATGAAAAGCGTTTGCAATCTCCAGCCCAATTACAATACCGACCGATCCCCCCTAAATATGTTTGTGAGGCATACTCGAATTGCGTTGTACAGGTTCAGCTTTATGTGTTCACATCCAAATTAGTGTCTATATATTCCCAATTGATGACTGCTCTACTACCACCCACTAGTGTCGCGTTCTCAGATTCAGTTGTACAGGTGTAAATCCATTTGTTCACATCCAAATATATATATATATATATATATATATATTTATATATATATATATATATATATATATATATATATATTATTATTATTTTATTATTATTA